TTTGTATTTCATTCAAGTTTATATTTTTATACCTCTGATACATTCCACCCCATTCTCGCGCTTTTCACACATTTTACTTTACACGAATTTTTTCTTATGTATATTACCACGCGAAATATTTTTCTTATCCCTGATGACGCTGTTGCTCGGAATTTGATTATTATTTTCAATTTCAGCGGTCAAAGGCCTCATTTGAACTATATTTTTCTTTCTAACGTTTATAGTTTTGATACAATGGAATTTTCCATGAAACATGTGTGCTAACTTGCTCAACAAAGCTTCAAGCCATGTTGTGATTGTTTTAATAAAAGTGAAAGCCTAGAATGTGCCAAAGTTGTTGTTTTGAAGTTGGGTGCCATCCTTTTCTATAGCGGAATCCATTTTAAACCTCTAAAATTATGAAAAAAAATATATATCGCGAAGATATGAATAGGTACATTCCACAAAAGATAAACGAATTCGCCTCGTTGGCACTTGCCGGAAGGTACCCGTAGTTAGCTTTGAGCCAGCGATCAATATATTTCAGGTCACTATTGATTTGGGACTCAAGATCAGGTTAGTAGCTGCAGAAAAGGTAACATTAGTGTCGTCGGCATACATTCTAGGAGAGCCCACATTCAAACAATTTGGTAGATCATTTATATAGATTAAGAAAAGAAGAGGACCGATTATTGACCCTTGAGGTACGCCACAATTTAGAGGGCTCGCGCTAGATAGATGATTGTTTACGTTAGTCCTTTGCATACGGTTAGTTAAGTAAGATTTAAACCATTTCAGGGCGTCTTGATCAACGCCATACTTAGTAAGTTTTTTAGAATTATCTCGTGGTCAATAGCGTCAAAGGCCTTCTTCAAATCAATAAAGATTACACCATTAAGAAGACCTCTATCAATTTTGACACACCAGTTATCGTTTGTCTCCAACAAGGCAGTAAGAGTGCTGTGTAGCGAGCGGAAACCAGACTGGCCGCTGTTTAATAAACTATTTTCATTCAGATATTGATATAGCTGGTCAGAGATAATTTTTTCGAAAATTTTGGCTACGGTAGGAATAACAGATCTAGGCCGATAGTTGTTTAGGTCAGACTTAGAACCATACTTAAAAATTGGTGACACTTTAGCCATTTTCCAGTCAGAGGGGAAAATCCCAGTCACTAACAACTGATTAAAGATGATAGAAATTGCTATACCTGGCTTGTAATTCACTGTAAAGCATTGCTGGCTGTAAACTCATACAATTCTACCTTTTCTGCCGAAAGATGGCCTAGGGTAAAAGACATCCGCCCAGCCACGTTATTTGCCGGGAAAAGGAGAGAGTACACCCCTAAAAGCCTTTGAAAAATACAAGGGCCGGGGCTACATCATAAATCGAACATCAGACATCGGACATAAGACATTTGATATCGGACATCAGACATAGGACATCACACATCGGACATCAGACAAAAGACATCTGACATCAAATATCAGACATCAGACATCACAAATCGGACATTAGACATTGGACATCAGACGTTAGGCATCAGAAATCAGACCGACATCAGACAGCGGGCATCAGACATCAAACATCAGAAATCAGACATCGGACATCAGACATCCGACATCAGACATCGGACATCAGACATCAGACATCAAACATCAGACATCGGACATCGGACATCATACATTAGACATCGGACATCAGCAATTGGACATCACACATGAGACATCAGATATACAGTAAGACATCAGCCACCGGACATAAGACATCGGACATCAGAAATATGACATCGGGCATCGGACGTCAGACATGAGACGTACAGTGAGACATCAGCCATCGGACTTAAGACATTGGACATCGGACAGCAGACATACAGCAAGACATCAGAGGTCATACACCATACATGGAAACACCAGAAATCAGACTTCGGACATCAGACATAAGACATCAGCCAGTATCGGACATCAGACATGAGTCATACAGTAAGATATCAGCCATCGGACATAAGACGTTGGAGATCGGATATCAGACATCGGACATCAGACATACAGTAAGACATCAGACGTCATACATCAGGCATGGAAACATGAGAAATCAGACATCGGACATCAGACATACAGTAAGACATCAGACATCATTGATGTATGATGGCTGATGTCTCACTGTATGTCTGAATTCCGATGTCTGATTTCTGATGATCGATGTCTGATGTATGACATCAGATGTCTGGTGTCTCATGTCTGATGTGCGATGTCTGATGTCCGATGGCTGACGTCTTACTGTATGTCTGATGTCTGATGTCCGATGTCTGGGTGCTGATGTCCGATGTCTAATGTAGGGAGTCCGATGTCTGATGTCTGATATATGATGTCCGATGTGTGATGTCATCAGACATCAGTCATCAGTCATCTGACATCAGACATCAGACAACGGGCATCGGACATCAGACATGTGACATCTGACACTAGACATCTAGCTAGCCCGCTGATATGTGAATCAGTATTGTTAAAAGGAAAACAGACTTTATCATGGATATTGTAATTTGTAAATAATGTATTTCGGTCGTTGATTTTAATAAAAAGAGTCTTTCTCAAATCATTATATTGATCACAGTGAAATAATATGTGTACTTCATTTTCAACCGAATTTTGGTTGCAATGATCACAGATTCTAAGGTCTTCAGGAGTTTTGAGGATTGTAAATCTTCCAGTTTCTATTTTTAAATTATGATTTCCTATCTTAAATTTGGAAGCTACACGCCTATGTTCAGGATTCCGGATATGATTGATGAATTCAGAGTAAGTTGTTTCATTTTTAAAGATGGAGTAGAATTTTAGTTTTTTATTTGTTTTTATCAAATTTAGCTGGTGGACCTTCAGATGTTTTGATAATTATTTTCAGCTTTGGATAGGAAAGTAGAAGGGTTTTTAAAGTTAACTGATTGTTTATTAAAATTAAGTTGTGTACACAAAAGATTTATTTTATTTATTAGACCTGATTTATTTTCTTCGGCCATTTTATCCGATATGTTTAAGCAGAGTTTAGCGATGCTGTCAGGGGGTTGATTTTCAAATCAATCCAAAACTTGAAAATGTTCATTGTTATTTGTAAATTTAGAGGTAATCTACCAAGTTCATTTCTCGATGCAACATTCGGTGAACGTTTGTTCAAACCTAAACCCATGGAGTCTTTATACCAGCGGCTATAATCACTTTTATCATAGATTCCCCAAACTTCAGAGCAATACGTTAAAATTGGGAAAAATAGTGTATTGAACAGTTTGTTGGTGATGTGAATTGGTAATTTTAGAAAATCTAGATAACGACGAGCGGCAATAAAGGATCTCTTTGTTTTTTCTGTTAAGTTTTCCTTGTGATTTGTAAAATTTCCATCGGCAGAAAATTTAGCTCCAAGATAGGTATAATTATTGATGATTTCAATGTTTTCATTGCTAACCATAAAATTGTGTTTATCTATTGCTGATTTTCTACTCCTCTTCTGAAATACGATAACTTTGGTTTTAGTTGGATTAATCTTAAGAAGCCAATCCTGATAGCATTTTGATAGTCTGTCAAGACTTTGTTGTAAACCTTCCGCCGAGTTGGATATTAGAAGTAAATCATCGGCATAAAGTAGACAGTTTAAGTGAGAACCATCTAGTAGTAAGATAGAATCTTTAGTATTGTTATTTAGAATGAAGGGTAGTTCGTTTAGATAAAAGTTAATTAGAAGCGGCGACAGAATACAGCCTTGTCGTACACCTTTATCATAATTGAAAAATTCTGATCGAGTATAATTGTCGTTCACACAACATATTCAATGGGAATACATGCTGGAAATTATTTCGTAAAAGGTGCCACCTATGTTATATTTCAACAGTTTGTATAGTAAACCTTGATGCCAAATTGAGTCAAATGCCTCTTTAAAATCAGCAAAACAAGTATAAAGTTTGCCTCTGAGGGAGTGGGTAACATGTTGGTCTATTAACGTTCTTAAACTAAAGACATGCTCAGACGCACGATGTCCGGGCAAAGAGCCACTTTGGGAGCGATGAAGTATTTACGATTGTTTGAAAAGTTTAATAATCTCGTATTTAAAATAGAACAAAAGGCAACAACTAATGCAAATACCTCTGTACTTTCTTTTCAGATTTATGCAAGGCAGTGATTATTCCATTACTCCATGATGTAGGAAATGTTCCAGATTGTAGAATCAGATTAAAAAGTTTCTCAAGTGGATATTTTATAAATCTTGAGCTTGTTTTCATCATTTCATTGCGTATTCCATCAAGTCCAGCGGCCTTCTTATTTTTGAGTATTTTAATTGCTTTATCAATCTCTTCAATCGATATTGGATTGTCTAATTCCGACTGTAAATGGTTGCTGTCCTCCAAACGCTTTTTATCGTCTAATACGTTTATTTGAAATACCGATAATGTATTAGGATCAGGTGCTGAGTGTAGGGTTTTAAAATGATCATAAAGTTTATTGGTCGGGTTTTCGTTATTATTATAAGACAAGTTGTTTTCGTTCACTGACTTTAGAGTATCTCAAAATTTGCGGTTGTTTTCGTTACTAATCAGCTCATTTACTTTAGAGTCAAAAAATTGTTGTTTTTTATGTTTTATAAGTTTTTTAACGGTTTTATTTTGAATATGATATTCTTTTCTGCGTTCGGTATCCAGAGGATTACGGCGTTTTTTGTTAGATAACTTTTTAAGTGAAGATCTTAAAGTTTTGCAATCATAATCAAACCATTTCTTAGTAATTGGCTTTCTTTTAGATTTGCTTGTTGGCTACCATGAGTAATTTGAGTGAACGTTTTGCTGCCTCAGTCATAATATTTGTGAATTGATTGGTAGCATTTTCAACATCTGGACTGCTTAATTCGAATTTTGTACTTTCGAAGAGATGTAATAAAGACAGAATATCATTGGAACGAAAGGCAGCAGTGAATTTTGCTGCAGACGTTTCGTCTGGTGGTAAACTGGCATCCTCATTTGAATTAGGTGGCTCATCACTTTCGCTTGGAACTCTTTCGACGCCTATCAGTGAATTTAAATTGACTGGTTTTAAGACCGTTTCAGTTTCATATAAGTTCAGAGGCAAAATGACCGCCCTGTCCATTGTACAGGTGTTATCTTGTCTTACATTTCGTTGTCTGACGGATTTACCATGCATTTTACGCCATGCCCTCATTTCAGCTTCCTCGTTTCTGGTTATCTTCTGTGAGGTTGGCTTTGGAATTTTGATGTGAAGTAAGGAAACTACATGTGATGTTGGCAGTTTGTAATAGGAATTTGGATGTGTGTAGTACGCTGCTGCCCACTTAGAAACTCTTTTCACTGCTTCTTCAACTGATGTGTAAATCATCATCGCATATTCGTACAATGTAAGTGTCTCTCTTAAAATGTGTTACGGCATGCTGATTTTCAACTTAAGGGTTAAGAGAGCCTCCATATTTAGTCTCATTTGGTACCCGTCAAATAATGACGACTCCCGTATATTGGCTTTGATGGAGATGAGAGACTTCTTCAGAAGTTCGAGGGATTTCAAACACTAATTGGATACAGTACACAAATATCGTTGACCGCAAATCGGGACCATTCGGGGGAAACCTAGATAAAAATGCTAAAAATTGACTAGAACAAGGTGCATCAGCAATTTTCTGACGTTTCTTAACTCCAGGAAATAAGTGTGCCTCTGACTAGTCATGGTTCCAAACTATTTATCCCATTTCCATTTTTTACATTTTATTCCCATTCCCAGTGACCAAATCCCAGTCCCAGTGGCTTAAATCCCATTTTCCCAGGGCAAAAACCGGCCAATCCCGGTTCCCATTTTACCCCTTTAGGACCCTCTGTTGTGGAAGCTTAACGTTGTTTTTGTCTTGAAAATTGTTATTATTATTATTTGAGAGGTCTGCACCAATTTTGATCCAGCAGACAATTTGAGAGTGATCTGAAAATATGTTTGGTTGCTTCAGGGCGAAACCTTGAACCGAAGTGAACATACTCACTCCATTAATAGAGTGAACAGCGCCTGCTATTGGTCAATGATATTTATGACGTTTTTGGTCTCTCACCTCATGAGGTCGCTAATATCATGCTACACACGTAACTAGTACTATACCATAAAAATATTTTATCGCATTCCGCTGTAACGATCTACAAGACCTCTCCTTACAAGCTAAAAAGGAAAAGGAAAACAAAGTAGAATATGAAAAACTACAACAGCATTATAATTTGTTGTGCTTGCAATTTTAATCCGAATTCAAAGTTGACCTTATTTTTGACATGTGGTTAGCCCATTTTGCTGACAAAGCCTGTCTAAATTTAGAAGGCAATATCTTTCAAATCACGCTCAGCTTGATTGAATGATTGAGGGGCATCATTTCATCATAACCCAGAGAGACCAAGGACACTGAGTTTCATCCATTAAAACGGCGATACTAGAAATTGCATTAATTTATTAAGTGGTAGCTTCTTCAAGTTTACAGCCACCTCAAAGACTTCGTAGATTGCCGGCAGTCAAACTAAACCAGTCATGGATGAAGAATCGGAGCCTCTGCTCTCCGCGGAAGATGGCAAAATTAATCCTAGTGGTTGTGAGGTGAAGATTTGTCCTGATAAATGTGAAAAGAACAGAAAAATATCCAGGAGGAACAACTACCAAGCTGTCACCGATGTTGCTGGAGATGGCGGCGATGACAGGTTAGAATTCTAAGCGAAAGCATTGCTTTGCGTAAAACATTCTTTGCCTACGTGTAGTCGTGGAATGCCCGCTCTTATTATTGATTTACGCGAGTAGAAAAGATTTGTTGTTGTTCGCTTGACTTGTCTTGATCGACATATGATAGTTTAGATTAGCTGGAAGTTTTCGATTTTGTGAAATTTACTGAGAATATAGAACTGCGGCCATTTAGTGTTTTGAAAACCTTGACCGACAGTCGAGCTGAAAATAGTTCCAAGTGTCACAAAACACGGTTTCGTCTTCTGAGCCCAGCGGTAACCAAATTACGCTAGATCGTCAGGATCGCTTGACTTGTCTAATCGACAGACAGACAGACAGATTAGCTAGAATCTTTCGATTTTGTGAAATTTACTGAGAATATGGGACTGCCGGCCATTTAGTGTTTTTAACACCTTGACCGGCGGGTTACCGGCCATATTGCCAGTCACGCACTGTGAAAACTCGGAAGTTTAAATTGCTGTATTTTCGAAATGAAACATCCTTCGGAGCTTGAAACTTGTACAAAAACTTATTTTTTATTTATCTTCAACCTTGTGTAAATAAGAATTCGTAAAACCTCGCTTTTTTGTCAATTTCAAGAGGACGTATTTTTTGTATTTTAAAGTTTTCACGTTACGTCATCGCCGCCATGCTGGTGGACGGTAAACAAAAGATTGCTCATTAGCTCGTTTTGTTTGTCCACCAGCATTTGTTCATTTCACCATTGTTATTTGTGTCTCCCGAGATTGCATGAAAACCACCTATAGGCACCTTGATATCCGTCTGAAGTCTATTGAAACACCTTCGAACGAAAGAGAACGAACGGGTGTTGTTTTTGACTTCACTGCATTGCGTGATTTTTACCTTATCACCAAATACAGATGACGTGACAGGTGAATAATCTGTCGTTGTACATTTAATTATTCGCAGCATACGGCTATATCCGTTGCACTGCCCTAATGCACGCAAATTTGTAGCTTTTTTTATTGTTGATAAACCTAAAACGGCTATACCAGCATGTTGCAAGTGAATCCGTCCTTTCATATCAAAGAAAGCTAAGAACAGTTAAATTGGCTTTTGATATTTAATGCTCGCTCGTGGTTCATGTTTAGTGACATGCTGTTGTTGTGACCGTGTGTGTATTTGCAATTCCAAGAGGACATAATTTTTGGAAGTTAAAGAAAACATCCCTGTTTTGCGAGCTAAATTTGGATAGGCATCTTGAATATTCGAAGTCTTTTGAAACACCTTCGAACGAAGGATCCGTCTAGTTAAGTCTTTTGAAACACCTTCGAAGGAAGATGCCGTCTAGTGACGTCACTGTCCTTTGCTTTAATTCATGCAAAAACTAAAACACGATTTTCAACCGGCAAATAAAGAAATATCCTCAGGAAATGTCTACATGATACAGAATTACTTAACTCTTTTTTTGTTGGGGTTCGTGTTTTCAACTGCATGCGCCACTCAGAACGAATCTGTTGTAATTCAATAATCAAACTCTATTGCAATCAGGCAATGAAATAAGCTTAAATACACACAGGGGACACTTCGAAAACACAACAATTTGCTTTAATTGAAAGGAAGCTATTTGGTCATCGGGGGCGGATCCAGGATTTTTTTCAGGAGGGGGTGCACTCGTCTCTTGCTCTGCTTCAACACCAATAAACCACATAGTTTTTTTTGCAGAATACCAGTTGTATTAGAAAACTGCAGGTCATCTCAGGGGGGTGGGGGGGGTGTGCACCCCATGCACCCTCCCCCTACATCCGCCCCTGGTCATTAACGAAGAGGAAAGAAAACGAGGAAACAAACAAATCCTTTGCTCGTAGTTCAATTAAACATTTCATAGTTTCAAAGACAAGGGCAATTTTGCTGTTTACAATACAGATTGTCTCCGTGCAAGCATGCCAAGGATGCAATCCGCTGAATATCAAACGACAATCCTGCTAAAATTTCTCATAATTATACATAATTATGCAAATATTTGGACAATAAACCAATCAAAATCACTACCCGACATTAGTAAGTAAGAGACTTTATTTTATGAGGGTGGCACGTAACAATAACTAAACATTACTGATCAACTTGTGGCCCTCTAGTTACTGGACGGCATTAACGGCCGGTCTATTCAGACGTTGCTGAGAAGAGAAAAACGACTCGAAGTAATCGTCTGAAATTCAGCCTACTTTGTTTGGTCTGTTCTGCTCTGTTGAGGTGTGGAGGCTGGTAACAGCTGGCTGGGTGCTTCTTTTTTATCAGGGTTGTGGAGGACGGTGGATGTGTGGTTCTCTTCTGATAAAGTGAGAAGGTTGGTGGAGGCTGGGCTGCATCTCCTTGTCCAGCTTTTGAAGACTGTGTAAATTCAGCGTTTATGGTTTGTTCGGGCGTGTGGTTGGGTCGAGGCCTGGTTGCTTCCCTCTGGTTTGGGTCCCGTAGACACTGAAGGCTTGGTTGATTCAACTTGTGTGGCCATGCTGTTTGGTGGAGGCCTGGTTGCATCACCCTGTTGGGGTGCTTTGTGCACTGAAAGCCTGGTTCCTTTTCCTTGTACACATGGAGAAGGGCCAGTTAATCATGGTAGTCTCCATATAGACTCCCTAATATGTTATCTCTTGAGTATACTAAGTCACATACCCTTATATATCTTGTATACCCTGTATACCCCTGTATCTCCTGTGTACCCATGTTAACCCTAGTAATACTGTATACCCTGTATACCCTTGTATATCCTGTGTACCCATGTTTACCCTAGTAATACTGTATACCCTGCTGTATACCCCTATATATCCTGTGTAACCATGTTTACCCTAGTCATATTGTATACCCTGTATACCCTTGTATACCCTGTGTACCCATGTTTACCCTAGTAATACTGTATACCCTGTATACCCTTGTATACCCTGTGTACCCATGTTTACCCTAGTAATACTGTATACCTTGTATACCCTTGTATATCCTGTGTACCCATGTTTACCCGAGTCATACTGTATACCCTGGATACCCTTGTATATCCTGTGTACCCATGTTTACCCTAGAAATACTGTATACCTTGTATACCCTTGTATATCCTGTGTACCCATGTTTACCCGAGTCATACTGTATACCCTGGATACCCTTGTATATCCTGTGTACCCATGTTTACCCTAGTCACACTGTATACCCTGTATATCCCTATATATCCTGTGTACCCATATATAGAGAATACTTCATAGAAAGTGCTGGCGTACGGTATTTACGCACGAGTTGTGGACGTATCAGAAATCGAACGAGTAAGATTTCTGATACAAAAACAACGAGTGCGTAAATACCGTACAAATCAAAAGTTTTACTCAAAGAGTTTTTCTCGCTAAAAAAGTGAAAAACATTTCGGAAATGGAGTGGAATAGTTTCGTTTGTTTCACTGTCGATAAAGAAAACGCTAGAGAGCCGGCGAAACAACAGCGGAAAGGGATAAACAGAACGAGACGTAAGCTTTTGTTGTGATTTTTGTCGGAGCTACTTTGCCTTTTCATTTAAGCTTAAGCTTATCTTGAAACCGGCCATTTTACTTAAATTCACTCATTTTCAATTGTGCATTGAGAACAAACAGTTAAGATTACTTATAGTTCTTGGATTACCTCACCGTCATTTATGTTTTTAACAAACATTTTTACTAAAAAGCTGATACTTCGTTTTCATTGTCATTTTGCGGTAAGTGTGCAGCGGCAGATTTGAGCATTTTTGAAAAATTTAAAATAAAAAGGCCGCCAAAATGATGAATGTCTCAGTATGTATATAATAAACACAATACCACATGGAAAGTGCTTTGTACGGTATTTACGCCATCGTTGTTTTTTTATCAGAAATCTTACTCGTTCGCTGCGCTCACTCGTTCGATTTCTGATACGTCAACAACTCGTGCGTAAATACCGTACGCCAGCACTTTCCATGAAGTATTCTCTATATACTTGTTATGCTGGTATAATAACCTATTGCATTAATATATTAGGGAGTCTATATGGAGACTACCATGAATTACTTGCCAGTAGAAGACAGGAAAGGCACGGTATTCCTGGTCTGTTCGTGCGTGCGGTTAGGTGGAGGCCTGGTTGCTTCACCGTGTTGGGATGCTTCTGTCAGCACCGCTGCAGACAGTGGAGTTTCCACCTCTTCATTCTGGGCTGCAGACAAACCATCTTGGTCGTCTCCTGAACTCAGTTGCTGTGGCTTGTAAATCTTAACATCCTTCAATAAGTTTTCCGCCTTAAAATCTTCCCAACTCGCCCGCGTAGCTGACATTTTCCTTTTTCCAGGTTAATTTTCTCTATTGGGTAATTAGGCCCCGGCCACTTATCTTGGATTTTGTGACCTTGCTTTGACTTTTCTGAAGCATGTTGCCTCGCAGCACAACATCTCCCTTCTTAAAGCTCTTATTTCGGCCTGCCTCCTTCTTTCGGTACTGCCTTGTTTTGTTTCCCCTGGGCTATGGTTATGTTGCGTTCTACCTTGGAAAACCGTAACATTTCTTGTCGTAGCCATCTTGTCTATGTACTCTTGCAAAGCATCCTCCTTTCGACCTGCTGCACAAATTTTTCAACGTCGAATGGTAGCCGTGGTTGACGACCAAACATTATAAAGAAGCAGCTAAACTTAGTGGTGCTTGAGACATTGGTCAAGTTAATGGCAAACAATTCGCCGTCAATGAAGTCATCCCAGTCGTTCCCGTTTTCATCCATGCCCTTCCTGAGAATGTCCAGCTATTGTTTTCGCACGGAAAGTGATATATTATCATTATCCAGATCCCAGCGGCTGTATAATCGGGAAAAAAAACGTATGGTAAAAAGGAAAACGGTGGAAGGAAAGGCTCCTGATTTCACCTTCGTCCCCCCCCCCTTTTTTTTTCACGGTGACTTACGAGACTCGCGGAAATATGACCCTTTTAGCTCGAAGCCAGCAGTTCTATTTAATCTATTCGATAAAGGGTTGACTCCAGAAATCAGTGAAATTAGACGCACCTAGTCATGGGCTCCTGTCCCTAGTGATATGTGTTTCCTTAACCGGAAAACACATATCACCAGTGATATGTGTTCCCGTGTAGAGGAAACACATTTCACTAGGGATATGTGTTCGGGGCAACACATATCAAGGGGGAACACATATCACTGTGACGTCACAGTGATATGTACTTTTGTTCCCCCGTGATAGATGCCGTGACAATTGGCACTATTTGCAGGGTGTCCAGTTCCTATTTTTTCCTATTTTTTGAGCCTGTTCCTATTTTCTCCTATTTTTTAACTAAAACCTCTTATTTTTCCTATTTTTTAGCTTGTGAAGCCAAAATTTGTAGCGAAATTGAAAATGGAATTATTATAGTTGTATGTGTTTTAGAGTGAGATTTATCATAAAGCAAGTAGCATGTTGACTTTGATGTTCTAATATTAGCAAAAATAATAGTTACATTAATTTTGTTATTTCTACGACCTCTATTACCTTTTTGATTTCTGTTAACAACTTTGTTATGTTGTTACTTTAATGATTTTCTAGTGCACCCACATATATTGTATGTAGTGTTATACAGTGTAGTTCTCATGACTATTGAATAATATTTTGCATAGCCCACTGAAACTGCATTTCAGTATCTGTACATGTTACATTTTATTTTGAAGTCTTGCTCCCTTTTATGTTCATCTTTGAAACTGAATACAGGATCAAGTTGTCCTCTCACACTGACACTCAGTCAGATAAATCATCCAATCAACTTCTTGTTTAAAAAACCAATCACTAGCTGGATTCTGGATGCTACATGAAAAGAACAGACTCAAGTTTAGTTTATGGCACTAGCTCTCTTGGTGAGCTCTTGTTAACAGCCATTCCTAACCATGACACACTTACAATCTGATACCAAATAGATCAGTGTTATTTTGCGTACACCGCGGAAAGCCTGGTTCCGTAATTAGATGTAAAACTATGCGGTCTTTTGATTCAAACAAGCATATTCTCAACCAGCTACCGATTGCAGATTAATGGACGGAAAGCTTTCCACAGGACTTTTTAGGCCTAGTTCGATATCCTTCAATAACAACGCAATCGTAAGAAATTTGTATCCTAAGAAATTTCATTCTTCGAAGCTTTTCAAGGATTTGCTGCCAACTAACTTGAAGGGAATTTGCATATTATCACCTTCGATTATAGAACCATGCTCGACGTGTAATCAAGCATATCATTCTGATTACAGCGTAACTGAGCCAATAAACTAAACGTTCAAATACTGATCACTCCTTCTAAGCCGCGAAAGTTGATCTAAATAATCCTGCGAACGTAGAAGCTGAGGACTCGTAGCCTTTATTACAACCCCGATGGGATGCAGGGAGACTATCTTTGTCGACGAAAGTACTATTGATTTTCCTATTTTTCTCCTCTTTTTTAATACAAAGTTTCCTATTTTTCTTATTTTCTCAATCCTGAGTTTCCTATTTTCCCATTTTTTTGAGCATCTATGGCACTGGGCAACCCTGTATTTGCAATGTGCGTAATTTTTCAACATCAGGCAGGGAGCAGCCCATTCCCTTATACTTAAAAAAGAGAAAAAACTTTATTTTCTTGATTTTTGTTTCGTTTTAGTAACGACAAGAAAAAGAAAGAAGCAGAAGAAAAACCACCCATGGTTTCTATTGGCCGACTGGTAAGTTATCAACTCTCTTTCAAGCAGAGGTTTTTAATTTGGATCACTGGTTGATCGATTCTCCAACAGAAAACTCTGTTCTTCGTCAGGCAACAAAAATCGAATTAGCCTGCCAACAAGCTCTCCATTTTACATGGCGAGCGAAGCAAACCGCGAGAAAACGCGCGAGCGAGCGGCGAAGCACTCGCACTCGCGTCTCCTTTCGCGAGCGGCTCTCTCATGAATTCTCGCGACCTCCCCGAATGGAGAACTTGCTCATAGGCTAAAATCTAACCAGCAGACTTGATTTCAACTGATGAAGAGAGAAGTTCCGTTCGTTAATGGCTTAAATAACCTTTTTCGAACTGTCATAACGAAAAAAACACTCGCTCAAATGATATTCACAATGTTCTTAAGCTCATCAGTTTTGTCAGCTACTGTCGCTTGGTGGTGGTTTGTCGGGACTTGTTTTTTAAAAGTGAATCATGTCTTAAAACGATTCACCCATTTGTTTGAATAAATCCCGGGGGATACCAACCTCATTCCTAAGGTTCTTGACTCATACTCGTTGCATGGACTGCGCGTTTTTCTCATTAGTTTTCGCAATCTCTGCAAGTTACTATGTTGGAGCCTGTAACAGGCTAGTTTAGGAGTGGAAGACCACTGCTGGTTCCACCCAGTGCTGTGTTCAGGCAGAGCTTTCAGTAAAAAATAGTAATCCATACAAACAGTACTAAGCACGGTCGTAACGAGGTATATGGTATCACGGATCAATAGCACAAATTGGGTAAGATCAGGGATCACAGCGCTGGGATCTGGGATCACAAGCCGTGGGATCGGGATCAATACTGGTTTTCGGATATAACAACAAAGACCACAAAATTCTGGAAAGCACCTTAATTGGACGAACCTGCCAACATTTAAGGTGCTTTGATACAGTTGTTCGGAGACCATACCGATATTTTTCAATGGCCTTAAATGGGATTTTATCCTTGTCCGATTGCTATAAGATGATAGACACTTTATTATGTATCTCATTCCGTCTTTACCAAGTATACGCAGCTAATCTGACCCAGGTTGAATTCAGGGATCAAAAAAATTTTTTAAGCGATCAGGGATCAAGATTTGCAACAATTTTGAGACCAGGGATCCAAATTTAAGTCCTAAATGTGAGATCGTTTGGGGAAAAATAAACCTCGTTACGACCCTGACTAAGGGATGACCAGCCCGGCTGTAATTTGAGATGCTTTGAAATGCCGTTAAAATAAACTAAAAGTATCATCATCAAGTTTGTGGTTCCTCGTATCTCGACTTAAATGGATCAACCCCACTGCCATAACGGATGAATTTATTCTATAGACTACCAGTAGATCCTCGTTTTCGTCGGGGGTAGTAGAGCGAGCGCGCGAGAAAGGTGACACGTGGATGAAAGTACCGATTCGACTACGAATAGGCCCTTTGCAGCTAGCCATTCACGTGGTACAAAACTGCCATGCTGGAGAGCAACAAAAGGCATACATAATTTTAAATGGTAATTTCCTTTGTTTGTCTTGTCCCAGGGCGACTTTTGCTCTTCAGTAAAGCGGTTTTGTACCACGTGAATGGCTAGCTGCAAAGGGCCTATTCCCTCACTTTTCCCGGCTTAGGGATAGTAAAAATGAGCGAATTAGGCGAGCGCGTGACACGTGGAAGGAAGGGAGATTTTTTCGAAAGCAGAGTACCGAGTCGGCTACGAGTAGTCCCTCATTTTCCTAAGAGGTGGTAAAATGAGCGAATTAGGCGAGCACGCGTCAAAATAGCAGGGCGCGAAGAATGTCACTGGTGGAGGGAAGAGGGAATTTTTTGGTAGAGCAAATTACCTCATTTTCCTCAGGGATAGTAGAATGTGTGAATTGCGCGAGACCGCTTGAAAATAGCTGCGCGCGAGGAAGAAGTCACGCGGAGGGAAGAAAGTAGGTTTTGTAGAGCTAATAGAGACCTTTAGATTCTAAGACGAGAACGACTACGAGTACGAGATTTTCTCAATAGCAAGTATTGCTCGCGCATGGGGCAGCGTTATTTTGGCGGGAAAACGTGGTAGCCGTCGTCATTCTACTTCGAGTTTTAGCGAGAGTGTCGTAGTGGCGGACACAAGTTATCAAATGTTAGAAGTTTTACCATTTTGCAATCTGGAGAGAGCTCAACCTCCTTCAATAACGATAACAGTGCTAACTTTTCTGGTGAAAAAAAGTACAATGAAGAATTCCGTGGTATCTATTTTTTGACAATACGCGAAAAAACTTCAAATCAAATCTCGTACTCGTAGTCGTTCTCGCCCTCGAATCTAAAGGTCTCTAATACCTGTTAGACTACGAGTAGACCCAAAATTTTCATCAGTGAGGGATATTAGAGCCAGCGAAGTACGCGAGCGCGCGTGAAAATTTCCGCGCGGGAGAAAAGTCTCTTGACTACTGAATCCAACACTGATAATCTCGATTACAATTAAAATTTGTCTTTGTGTTCTTAGCGCTAAAATGTTTGAAAATCCAGACGTTTCGGGACTACTGTCCCTTCATCAGTGGAAGATGCCGTTACACTAAACGCGCGTCATTTTATTCAAATGTGGCAAGATTTGAAGCGCGCGCTGGAAGAGTTCGCTCAAATAAACTTGAAGTCAATGTTTATGCCGCTAGGCTGTAGAGTTTTGCATTTAAAAATTAGGCGGCCCTCCGCTCCACGTCTGTCCCTGGTGTTGTGAAGACCCGCTCGTACAACAGCTACCATCATATCATCTGGTGTGTGACCGGGGGAGGAAAAATGTTTACTGATAATCTCGTACTGATTTGTCAATGATCGCCTGAAAATTCTTAGGTAATTTACGAATTCCTTTCCACTTATTAATGTTCGATTGTGTCTTAGTTTCGTTTTAGTGACAAGCTAGATGTTGTGTTGCTTACCCTGGGCACTTTAGCAGCAGTTGCTCATGGAGCTGCGATTCCCGTTCAGTTCCTCATCTTTGGTGATCTAATCGACAGCTTTATCGAGTTTGCGCAAGCACAAACCGGCAATGCTACACAGACTTACGATCTGAATGGCGAGATGACAAAATTTGCTCTGTATTATGTTTACCTGGCGGCTGGTAACTTTGTCGTCGCTTATGGACAGATGGCGTTCTGGTCCCTTACTGCTACGCGGCAAGTAAAGAAAATGCGTCTGGCTCTCTTCAGTTCCATCTTGAAACAGGACATTGGTTGGTTTGACACATCTGAACCGGGAGAACTCAATAATCGATTTACTGAGTAAGTGTGCGCGCAACTTTGTGGTCATTGAGCCTAAGTAGTAATGATGATAGCAGTAAAATAAAATCGACTTTCTTTCAGGGAGGCAATATGCCAGGTTTGATTTAGCGCGTAATACTACTACAGGAGAAACTTCTGCAATTTGATTGGCTTAGAGCAGTGGTATTTGCAATACCTGCATGTGAAAATTACAAACCTTTTGCGGGTAGTGGTATAAACAAATAATAGCAGGATTTGTACGTGATATTTGGCATAAATACCACCCGTAAATACCTATACTAATACCCTTTGAGGACACTGTTTTATATTCCCTAAAGGCATTCGAGACTGGACGTTATTTAACAATTAAAAGCGTCTCGTTGCTCGGCTGTTTAGTTCATTTTAAGAGTTTAAGATACCACGACGCCGACGGCCACGAAAACGTCGCTTAAAAAGTGAATTTGCGTTCCCTTCAATCTCTATCCCGATTACTCTAACTCATTTACTTGCAAGCGAACTCTTTTTTAGCCGACTTCCTAAGAACCATATTCAAGTTCAGAAAAAGAAAGAAAATTTACTCGTCGGTTGTTTACATCCTCCCTAAAACGTGAAATAAGGCATTTTGCCGTCGTAGCCGTGCAGTGACGACAAAGAGATGTACAAAAATGCGTGATGCACGTGCAGATTTGTTGTTTTGCCTGTTCAACCTATTGCTTTTTTGACGTTCTCGTTGTCGTCGCTGTCATGGCATCTTACAGTCAGTTTTTTCGCCATGGAACTTGAAATTACTTGCCAATGATAAAATCACAGCTTCGTGTCAAACAAAATTGTCTCCCAAGCATATCATATCAAACTTCAAAAATGAATTTTGAAAATCCGTTAGGCGAACACGTTTTCAAAAACAACAATTGCGTCCGTTTTAGTCTTCTTCAACTTTGCCCATCCGTGCTTCCTTTTATATTGGCTGCGTTGTTTATACCTTCGTAGAATGTTTTGAGCGGTTATTTTGTTGTTTCACGTAGCCGGAGAAAAAAGCCGACATTTTGCGACGCCACTACTGGTTGCTCCGCGAAATGACGTCTGAGAAATGAACGCAGAAATTCCATACTGATGACGCGTCACTACCCAGATCTGGGTAGTGTTTCTGATTGGTCGTACCGCGTGGGAAATTTGCTTCAACCAATCAAAAGCACTACCTATATCTAGGTAGTGAGGCGTCATCAGTATGGAATTTCTGGGCTCGTTTCTCAGACGTAACTTCGCGGGAAAACCAGTGGTGGCGTCGCGAAATGTCTTCTGTTTACTCAGGTTATGGTTCACTCAGTTTGGTGGGGGTTCCCACAGTCCCACTGTTTGAATTTGCATTTATTTCCTAGTACTTATGTTATAGATTCACCTTTACCTCATTGACTGACTTTTTGTACTGTTTCTTTTATCCAGAGACTTGAATCAAGTGTTTGATGGAATTGGGTACAAGATCGGTATGTTCGTGCACGCCATATCCACAGTGTTAGCGGGCTTTGTCTTGGCGTTCTTGTATCAATGGAAGCTCACGTTGGTTCTGATTTCTATTACTCCATTGCTGGTCGTTGCAGGTGGAATTTTGGGAAAGGTAACTTGTTGTATTATTCTTTTTAAGTGGCCGATAAGGCCAGAAACTGAAACAACACTTATAGTCGCTGCAACATACACGAATACTCTAAACCAACCCTCTTCTTAATAGAGAGGAGAAGTCGTTACGTCATGTTGTCATGTTAGCATAATATTTTGATCACAACCGAACCAAAAAGGTTACTTAAAAAGTGAATTCACACTGTTTCAAACTTCATCGATCTTATTCCATTTTTTTTTTTAATTTGTCAAATGTTGGCGAAATTTTCTGGAGTTCACTTGAATCCGAAAGGACCGTTTTTAAGTTGCGAAGAAGGAAAATAAAATTTTTGTGTTGTATCAGCCTACTCCATAAAGCGGGTGCGTAAAATTAGGAAGTTTCATAGTGTCGCAGTCGTTCAATGACGGCTAAGAAAAAGCGTGATGCACGTGCAACTTCGATGCCCTAAACCAATGGCTTTTTGCCGTTCTTGTTGCCGTCGCCGTCCTCGTTGCTTAAGCTCCTACTGTTGTGATCTACAAATTTTTCTATCATGGTAACATGACGTTACACGTCTCCTCACTATTAGTGGTCGCTTACAGGAGGTGATCGCTGACGAAAATCGAACCACTGGGGGTCTCCTCCGAGAAGAGGTCCCGACACTACTACTTTTTGGCGAATAATTTATTGAATGCAATTTGTAAGTTACGTTACGTGTAGTTTCCTGTTTTCACTTGAAATTCTTTATATACTCTGAGTGGCACAGTACATAAAGCAAACGAATAGTCCACACCATGCATCAGAATGGTCACTTGCAAGAGACTAAAAACAATGAAAAACTANGGGGGTCTCCTCCGAGAAGAGGTCCCGACACTACTACTTTTTGGCGAATAATTTATTGAATGCAATTTGTAAGTTACGTTACGTGTAGTTTCCTGTTTTCACTTGAAATTCTTTATATACTCTGAGTGGCACAGTACATAAAGCAAACGAATAGTCCACACCATGCATCAGAATGGTCACTTGCAAGAGACTAAAAACAATGAAAAACTATAGAAAGGCGAGGCCAAAAAGCGCTCACTTTCGCGTTTTAATTAGCGGTAGTCGTTTACAAGAGGTGTTAATGATAGGACTTTGACTGGGTTAAGTTTTTAGTTTAAGAGAGGTGGTCGCTTATGGCATGGGAAGTGGCCGCTTTTGAGAGGTGGTCGCATATGGAGGTTTGCCTGTCTTAAACTACTTACAACTTAAAACAGTACAGTTTTATTATCAACTGTGTTGTTAGCCTACGTGGTAGCAGCAAAAAGGGGAGGGGAGGGGAGGGGAGAGGGAGAAAAGCGCGAAAGGAAAAAAGTGAGAGGGAGAGCCTGCTATAAGAGCCAGTGTTCCCGCATTCCTCCCACTAATCTGATAAAGTTAACTGTCAATACATGAACAATCACAAGTAGGGGGCGCCTCTCAGCATTGTCCAAACTTTTATATCCGAAATTGTCAAATCGATGATAATTATATCAGATGATGTTATAATTGAGCAAAATAAAACATTTTTGCTGTTGTTGCTCAGCAAATATAACAAACAATGACCAGTTTCGTGTGTATAAACAAAAATCAGACATAACGGTTGCAAAGAATAGAATAGTCGCCAGCCTGAGACGAAAATAATTATGAAAGGATAATTATGTAAGGGTTATTTACCTAGAACGAGGGGGCATGTGGTATATTCACCAGGTGCCGCCCCGGCAGACCTCGGGGCGGTATCAGGTGAATATGTTGTGGTTCAATTTTATCCTTGGTTTAAATGTTTTTTTCGTTTTGGTGGGGTATGGTAATCTATGATTATGAGTTTATATCAAAGGGAAATAAAATTTAACCAAGGGTAAAATTGAACTACAACAAATACATCGAACAACCCCGAGGGACAGGTAAATCAAATGCTTATTTTTCACTTGTGAGGTTTCCTAATGCAAAAAGCTTTTCAAAAAGCCTTAAATTAATTCTATTGAGATGCTTATTCCCAAGAGCCTCGAAATTCTAGAATATGGAAATTGACCAATTCATGTGGAGTAGTCAAACAGTAGTTTTACCAGAAAGTGATTCAGAGGAAGAAATATTCTTAACGTTAAGGCAGAGCAGTTTTGGAAACTCTTTTGGACCTTCCAGCACGACAGATTTTAGTGTCAGTCGTCCAACGAGTCACATTGCAAGCCAGAATGTTCGTAGGTAGACGTAGGAGATGTTATGTTAAATTTGTTTATGAGACGCGGCCGGCGAAGCGAATTTCTAGTCTGAAGGACATTGCGCCTTGACAACTGCCGACAAAGCCAAGAATGAAGTCCAAGAAAATGTGGTAAGCAATCGAAATTCAGAAATTCTGACTTGTGTTGCTTTACTGGGATGGCTAAACATGTTGAGGGAATATGAGCAGGGAATAAAACAAGGGGAATGTGAGTAGGGGAAATATATATTTCAATGTTTTGTTATTGTTATCAGCTGTTGTTTCAGCCCCGGTCACCAACTTTTTAGACAGTGAATAACAGGAGGGCAATTTCTGTGCGCATGCGTGCTGCCGCTGAACGACAATTGCAATAGCATGGGCGCATCAAATCTGATGGCGGGGAATCGAAAACTCGCGCGAAGTAACAGTCCTTTTAAAAGCCATTTCGTTGGTGCTTTGAATAGTGTACTTTCCTACAAAGAATGTTCTCCATGACAAAAATCGAACGTTTTCTACGCGGGTTTTCAGTTGTGAGATTTTCAGCAGTAGGTTTTCTTGACCTTTTAAAGACTTTAAAGACTCAACACCAAAAATCACTGTTCCTGTATACGTCTGATTTTCACTGGCAAAGCAGTGCCTATCTATGATTTGACTGCCAGACTCATGGTTTTTCTTATCAAGGAAGAAATGCAACGTAGCAATGTTCAGCTGCGTTAAGAAGAGCGAAAAAATTTATTTTTTACTACGCGAGGTTTATTTATTAGCTTGATGCCTCATGTTAAACTGATCGCGGAGAAGATTACTGCAGGAGGCGATTTTTCACAGCTTTCATCAAAGCACCATTCATGGGCGGAAGTGTTCTTATTTTTAATAATCATTAACTTATTGTGGGGAGAAAGGCGAGATTTCGAGATAAAAAAGCCTGCGAAAGAGGGAAAATGCAGTTTCACGGCAAAATGGACACCAATTTATTCCTGAAACGATTAAGTTCGATTTTAGAGTTATGCTGTTGAGAAGAATTAAATATCTACAGGATAATTGGTTAAAGAAAAAAATTTTGATATTGACCTTTTCCTACCGCTCAAAAAATGTGCGCGAAATGTTTGGTCGAAAGAACATTCAGCCGCCATCTGGTCTTCGATCTACTCTTTTACGAAAGGAAAGACTGTCCACTAATGGGCGACAGCGAGGCTAAAATAAACTCACTTTCACCGTAGAAATAACTCGATACCTTAAAGAACACGTTTGTCGAACGTAGCTCCCAATATACGTCATTCAGCTCCAGAAAACAGCCTGCAATGCTGGTAGCGAACGTAAACAATTCGCAGAAAATTCTACAGACCATATTGACGCATGCGCATACAAATTGCCCCTTGTTAATAATGAGGGGTTATGTAATGTATTCTCCTAAAACGAACAAAGGAAACCGAGCATAATGAAAAATAAGACCTTTTATCAATAATAATAATGATAATAATAATAATAATAACGCGAACATTTATACAGGATAACCTATCAGTTCTAATAAAAAGAACTGTTATCAAAAGGGTCCTGTAATTATCTCATAAATAGCTAAAAACATAAAGAAGAAAATTGAAGAGGAAAATAAAATAAAATAACGCTAAGAAATCTAAGATTCAAAAATCAAAATCTGTAAAAATTATTGACTTAAAAGACTGAAAAGAATTGTGAATTATGGAATACTATTGAAAAAACCTCTTTCAAATTTCTCGTAAAAAGAAACCCTGAATTTAAATTTCTTAAATGCCGAGGTTAAGTATTGTAAACTAGAGCCCCTTGAAAGGCAAAACTTCTCCGTCCAAATTCTAATTTGGCTTTGGGAAGTTTTAGTGAACACCCATTGTTTCTAGTGTTAATGTTGTGTTCAATTTTTGTAAAATATCCTTTAAAAGGGGTACAGACGTTATCCTGAAGACAATCAAACACAAGCTGGCAGGACTGTCTCTTTATTAAATTCTCCACTGTCTGGACTTGATAATTTCCACCAATGACTTCCAATGCTTTCAATTTGACTCTTACGGGAACGTGACCAACAGAGACCCAAAGTTCCACAATACGTAAAAACAGGTTGAATCATTGCTTTGTAGATTTTCTCAGCACTGCTCTTGTCGATTAAAGGTCGGATTCTCCTGACTGAATTCAATCTTCCAGCTGCTCTTTTACCGAAGCTTCAGCTCTCTCTTAACAAACCATTTAGAAGTTAATTGATTGCGTTATATGATTTTACGTCAATAAGTTACTCATTACGGCTCAGCCAATCAGTAAGTTGCGGACGCTGGCGACAAGAGGTGTTTCTCATATATATATAAAAGTAATACGGGAACTGCAAGTTTTCGTAATTCCTTGTTGATCATTTTGCATGTTGCAGGTGATGGCTGTGTCTACAACTAAAGGGCTAGATGCTTATGCCAGAGCTGGGAGCGTAGCAGTAGAAGTATTATCATCCATAAGAACTGTTGCTGCCTTTGGAGGCGAAAAGAAAGAAATTCAAAGGTACGGGTGAACAGACAACCGAAATTCTCACTCTTTGAAGGGTGTTTATCGATGACTGTAGCGTTGACGATTGACGACCCTTTTGAAGTTACAAATGCCATTTTTTGGCCGCTGGTGTTTGTGAAATTGCAACTAAACTATTCAAATTATTCATGTATTTTAACAACTGAAGTATTTTTCCTCAGTCTGGACAAATATAATTGTATTATTTCATTGGTTTTCGGGAATCCTTTACATCACGAAACGTAATCTTTCAACTGTGCTTTGGTTCCGAGTTAACCATCAAGCACGCTAACCATCATTTTCTTTGTTGTAAAGATCTTTGTCTTTTTCAGAATGGTAATGGTTTTCGTTCGCTTTCACCACTAAGTTTCATTTTTCTCCTTATCGTTGCCACTGTGTGACGCAATTAGTCTCACTTGGGACATTCAAAGTTTTCATCGACTTGCTTGTGTGACCATTATTGATAATAAGGGAGCCCTGCGTTTATTTTGATTTCAGACTTTCGTGTTAAGCTTAATTGACAGCTGTCAAAACAGGGTATCCGCTAAACAGTATCACACGACTGCATCCACGGGCTCAGATGTCAACTTCTCTAGGTTACTTGTTTTTGAAGTTTTCGATTCAGCTAACCAGTTATTAGCTGTAAATTTATCGCAGGCTCATTCCAAATCTATTTTTTTAGGAGAGAAGGTCGTTTTATCGTCCAAGTGATTGCCGTTGCAGGGTATTGACGTAAGCTTCGCTTTTAGCTCTGGCTACATCTATATATTAAATTATTATAAATAAAAGCAGTTAGGGCTCCCTTGTTTTTTTCTGGGTTCGTCACGTTTACAATTGTATGGTATACGTTTCAAATTTAAGGTATTCGTCATATCTGGGAGAAGCACGAGACTTCGGTGTGAAGATGGGTGTTTTTATGGGTCTGGGCATGGGTATTCTTCATATGATCATGTACGGTAGCTACGCTCTGGCCTTCTGGTAAGTATGTTAAATTTTTGTAATGTCTTTTGTCCCTTTCGAAATTTAATTACGTCAGATGTTAGGAAAGTTCCTGCTACTTCTCCTTGGAAGTGAGGAGCTCCCAGCCCACAGGTTGCATTTGTTCCTCACTCGCCTTGAGACGCCTCTTTCTCGTTACACTACAAAGCTTTGAATTTGCCATCTTTATTTATTTATCACCATACGGTACGCCCTCGACATTGCTGTTCTTAGAAATGCACAGAACACTTGTCACACACAAGCCCATCGTCCGTCTCTTCAGAGCTTAGTAGACTAAAGTCTCACCCGGTGATTCTGACAAAGGTGAAGGGAGGGTTAAGCTCCGTCGGGGACCCTCTCCAGCCCCCATCCTATCACTAAACCTTATGAAATACACTGGTTAAACTGCCATTAAGCTCCCACCCTCGGGGTACTGGTAAGTGGCCGCTTAATGGAGGTTGGCCTCTCAATAGAGGTTTGCCATGAATTAGCATAAACTTAAGCAGAAAAATTACTCGTAATTCTTTTTCCTCACTATCTACAGGTACGGGGCAAAGTTGATAATAAAACACGAAATGAACGGTGGAGACGTGCTTATTGTAAGAGAAATGATGCGTTTAATGCTTTTTGTTCCCCAGAATTATATAACAAGATAGTTACTATAGATTCTGTTGTTGACTCTGTGGACGCAATCCTATGACGCGACCGGTGACCTTTAAAATTAAAACACTTCAGAATTGCTTCCACATGGTGTTATTATTTTGTTTTTTACTACGCATGTAGTTCTAACTTTTGAGTCTGTGGACAAAATTCTATAGTGTGAACATTCAAATGAAACCTCTTCAGCAGTACTTTCACATGGTACTATTTGTTTTGTATGTAGTTCTAACTTTTGAGTCTGTGGAAATATCCTATAGTATGAACATTCAAATGAAAATTCTTCAGCAGCACTTTCACATATACTCTTCGTTTTCTGTATGTTACGAAATCATAGTTTTTCTTTTCTTATAAAAATTATACACATTTAGAGCACTCCTAACTTGGGACTGAACAAGACGTGTCTCTACTGATGTATCGTGATTAATCAAGAACTTGCTCAAGGCTTCGCTTTGCAAATGCCATACTTGAAAACAAAAATTTTACATGTGCTTGTATAAGTCTGTTTTCTGTTTTTTGTCTTTAGGTATTTTTCTCCGTGGCGGTCGGTGCCATGCAACTAGGTCAAGCAGGCCCTTACTTCCAAGCCATAGTAACAGCACGAGGAGCAGCATACAAAGTTTTTCTCATAATTGACAGGGTGAAGAGATGTATATATTGTTTAAAGGCAGTTTAGGACTATTATTCCACCCTTGCTTAGCGTTTGAAATCTTCCGGTCATATTCTTGCTCTCCAGCTACACTACCAAACAGAGCCTCCGCTGGATCATTATTTACTTTAATTTTCCTTATCTGGTCAGCTGGGGTTAGCCTGCTACGAAGAATTAACCGGGGGAAATATATTAATCAACGAACTCTATTAATAAGTCGTTGCACTAACAGACAGGTGCAACGACAGACGATCACAGAAGAGACGGCAATCAAGTCTACAACGTTCACGGGAAAATTTGTTTACGCGGACTTTAAAAAGAATGTGTTTTAGCCCTAAAATGGGGTGGTTTGAGTGAGTGAAATACAGTTTTTTGGGGGGGTCTAATTTGGCTCTCTAATCAGGGTAAATACATGTCAGTCCAATTACCTTGGGCTGATTTGGACCCACGGACTGAAATTAGTCCCAGCATGGGCTGGAATAGGCATTCCGGCCCTGCTTGCCGGAGAGTCTCCAGTGGCTCAGCCGTTAGAGCATCCAAACTTGACCTCATCGGAGGGTCGTAAGTTCGGTTCTCACTTGGAGCTCATAATTTTTCTTTGAGCTTTCTGGTATCAGGGTTCTCCTTCTTCCAAATTATATTGTACAGTCTTAGTCTCGTATGCTGTTGGACGGCCGATTTCGAGCAAGTCCCCGATACAGTCCTCTATGACTGGTGTAGTTACAGTTAAATTCGAACCCTGCTCTTCATAGAGTCTCTAGTGGCTCAGTGGTTAGAGCAAAGTGAATTAGAACTCGGAGGGTCGTGAGTTCGATTCTCACTTGGGGCTTTTCTGAGCTTTTTGCTATCAGGACTATTCTTCTTCCAAATTGGATGTGGCCTTTTCGAATTGTGCTCAATTGTCTCCAGAAAAGGAAAAAGAAAAAGGTTCAACTCCCACAGGACTGGTTCAGAACACCATCATGCCCGCCGTTTTCAGTATTGTTTTGGGACACCAACATGGCGGACGTGACGTCATGTGAGAGCGGTCTATTGGCACATACCCCTTTAAGCCCCGATATCCAAACACAAAATTCTCCAGACTGATCTCCATGCATTTCCGTAAAGAATTGGTTGAGAGAATTTGTTTGCTGATCAAAGCTTTTCCCATCGGTGCTCATTTCATTAATTTTTACAACATTTTCTCTTGATGATGTATTGATAATGTTGAGAGAAAGTTGACTTTGGTCACTCTTGGGACGTAAAGGGTTGAGGGCTGAAACAGATCTTTTTAATTTTCAGTGTGGTTATACATGTAGAACTTTCTGACGCTCTTATTTTGTTCTCTTTCACTGACTAGGTTCCCCCATTCGACTCCAGTTCTACTGAGGGAACAGTCATCGAGCATGAATCTTTTAAAGGAAATATAACTTTTAACAACATCGAATTTTCTTATCCTTCGAGGCCAGACGTGAAGGTATTTAATATGAAATGGAGGACGATAGCTTACGAGTGTCTATGAATTTTTCACTCATGTTTCTGTCTCAGGTTAATCAGCAGATATTATTAAGAGCTAAGGTGTAATACGCGTATATATGTAACCTTCAGGGCGTGTCCCCACTGGTCCATTTAAAGTGATTCCCTTTTTTGGCACTGCGCATCGCCTACTGTGCATAACCTTGCGACGTCAAAGTTAGCGTTTTGTTATTTAAGACTATATGGATGGTAAGGGTAAACGTATATTGGAGCTGTGAAAAATTGGTAATGTCTTCCGCACAGAATTGACCTAAAACAGCAATATGCTCTTCACGCATAGCCCCTTTAAATTGTAATCGCACTCGTGAACTATATATTAGAACAGCTTCGCGAGAGTGGATGAGTTCATAAACGGAACAATATGACGCTCTCATGGAGACAAAATTAGAAGAGATATTGAGTGCAGCATTTGAAAACTTGTTGGGATTTGTGTGGCATAGCCTCAATGACTTTTTCTCGTGCTTTGTTTCTTTAAGATTTTGGATGGTTTGAACCTGACTGTAGACAGTGGACAGACTGTTGCCTTAGTGGGCGAAAGCGGCTGCGGAAAGAGCACAATGGTCAAGCTCGTGCAGAGGTTTTACGATCCAAGTAGCGGTGAGGTAAGAGGCTCCCCGTCCCGTTCCGCCATCGAAGTCTTCAAAGTTTAGCTCTTATCTTAAGGCTGGTAAAAGCATAAATAACTTCTTTTAGACTATTCCCCAGTCGTATTCTCATGGCTGGAAGCTTTTCGTCATTTGATTTTCGGCAGTTGAGTGCCTTTATAGCTTATTCGTTGACCACAATGGGAGTCTTGGTTTTCTCCGTAAGGAGAGGATGTGACTGAATGCTAACCCCCTCCCCCCTTGTCCCATATGAGAATGTTTAGAGGTTGTTCCTTTATATATTCCCTTGACACACATGTGCTTTAAAGAAATAAAAATAAATAAGGGCAATGCCCGCATCACCCTTAATGAACAAGAGAAAGATAAAGTCAGTCCTCAGCGGTTAATATCATTACAAGACAACGAGGTCCTGATAAACATCTACTTAAAACTTACTCGTACGTTCTTCTGTATATACCTTTAATTTTCTGCCCCTATATGCGAAGGTATCTATTGATGGTCATGACATTCCCAGTCTGAACTTAAAGTGGTTGCGTGAGCACATTGGGGTTGTAAGTCAAGAACCTGTTCTTTTCGACACAACAATAGCAGAGAATATCAGGTACGGCAAGGAGGATGTGACACAGGAAGAAATAGAAAAAGCAACAAAGATGGCGAATGCTCATGACTTTATCAGGAGTCTTCCCAAGGTTNGCTCCCCGTCCCGTTCCGCCATCGAAGTCTTCAAAGTTTAGCTCTTATCTTAAGGCTGGTAAAAGCATAAATAACTTCTTTTAGACTATTCCCCAGTCGTATTCTCATGGCTGGAAGCTTTTCGTCATTTGATTTTCGGCAGTTGAGTGCCTTTATAGCTTATTCGTTGACCACAATGGGAGTCTTGGTTTTCTCCGTAAGGAGAGGATGTGACTGAATGCTAACCCCCTCCCCCCTTGTCCCATATGAGAATGTTTAGAGGTTGTTCCTTTATATATTCCCTTGACACACATGTGCTTTAAAGAAATAAAAATAAATAAGGGCAATGCCCGCATCACCCTTAATGAACAAGAGAAAGATAAAGTCAGTCCTCAGCGGTTAATATCATTACAAGACAACGAGGTCCTGATAAACATCTACTTAAAACTTACTCGTACGTTCTTCTGTATATACCTTTAATTTTCTGCCCCTATATGCGAAGGTATCTATTGATGGTCATGACATTCCCAGTCTGAACTTAAAGTGGTTGCGTGAGCACATTGGGGTTGTAAGTCAAGAACCTGTTCTTTTCGACACAACAATAGCAGAGAATATCAGGTACGGCAAGGAGGATGTGACACAGGAAGAAATAGAAAAAGCAACAAAGATGGCGAATGCTCATGACTTTATCAGGAGTCTTCCCAAGGTTGGTCGATCCAGTTTGGGTGCATGTAAAAAACACTTAGCGCCATTATTAGGTATGTAAGTAGCCAACGTCTACTTGACCTAGGTCCAGAGTCTAGAGTCTAGGTCTAGAGGTCTGGAGTGCGTGCAGAATGTATGACTGTTTGGCTGTCTGCCTCGCTAGGATACCTAGAACAAGATGAAAATTTCCCCCAACGAAAGTCTTGTGGTTTTCGTGTAGCTTGTCGTGTAACGCGTAATAATCACGTTTCAAAACTAAGGAAGGAAAAATTGGTGACGAATTTACCTTCTCGTAAGCGATCACTTTAAAAATGACCGTTTTGTTTCCCAGTTAAATACTGTTTTAAAAACTCTCTCGTAAGCGACCACTACTTACTAAAACGACTGCCGTTATTTTTTTAACCAGAAATTCGACGTATTCTTTTTTTTTTTTGTTTCTCGTAAGCGACCACCCGGCATGATCACTTACGACTCTGAGAAATCCATCGCTCGGATGTCACAAAAGTTTAGTTTTTAGAAACTTTGACCAAGCTTGTGGACAGATTATAGCAGTTGACTTGCAAAAAAGATGGCTGTTATACAGTCTGTAAGTAAAGAGGTGGATTGTTCCATTGATGCAAAATGTTATGGACAAAGTTTCAACAGTTTCAAACGCTATTCTTTGTGAAACATTATTACCAGTTGTTTGTTTACCTAAGTTTTAGCTCGTTAGGTAACTTTATCTAGTCACGTTAATCAGTGCAGTTTGAGCTTATTTTCTTAGTTTTTCCCATAGACGACCACCTCCTGTAAGCGACCACTTTGTCGTGCACCAAGGGTGGTCGCTTACGAAAGAGTTGACTGTATGGTTAAATATTCAGTAGCGCTTCTGATAAAGAATAATCAGGTTTAGTTACTTTGTACATTTAGAGTGAATATGCTTGAAGTTAACAATTAAAGTGTTGAATAACCACTCACAATATTTTATCTTACCTTCTTACCTGTAGCAACGGTCACGTTACAAAAACAGTCTCGATCAAATTGTTACAGCATCGATCCCAATATCGTTACAACATTGTCACAGCAAAAATAAATATTTATTAATAATGGTTGATGAGCTGCGTTGTGTGGCATACAACCGCTGACAGGCCTTATCTGAAGTGTAACCTTCCATTAACCTAAAATACATTTAATTATGTGATTATCGAGATTCTGATTATTGTTGTTGTTGTCGTTATTTTCCATCAGGGTTATGATACTCTTGTTGGTGAAGGTGGTACTCAGTTAAGTGGAGGGCAGAAGCAGCGTATCGCTATTGCACGAGCTCTCGTAAAAGATCCCAGGATATTGTTGTTGGATGAAGCAACCTCGGCATTGGACAGTGAAAGTGAATCCATTGTACAAGCTGCACTGGATCGAGTAAGAAATTTGCATTCAGATTATTAACGTATTACAAACAGTTTTGAGGTATATTTAGTAAATTTGAGTTTCTCAATGAAAGTGTGTCCAGCGGAAATCTTGCTAATAGTTGCAACACCAGTACAACGGAACAGTTGTAAAATGCCTTTGTTGGCTGAGGATGCGTAAAAAAGAGATTCTACCAAATCATTATGTACATCCCGGTTACCATGAGATGCGCACGCACCGCCGCAGGTCAGTGCAGGTATCGTTCGCCTTGGGTTTAGTCGTGCTTATTTTTCTCCGATATTTCTCCGCCTTTTGCAGCTGCTTATCACGGTAAGTTAACAGTTACTTTTTCGTTTATTTTTCTTTTACTGTGGACGCGCTCCACATTACATTCTCCAGCCGTTATTGTCTGGATTTTTTCCTTTCTCGTGCTCTGTGACGCGTCACAGGCGGACTGGGCTCTTGTGCCGAATTANCTCAGTTAAGTGGAGGGCAGAAGCAGCGTATCGCTATTGCACGAGCTCTCGTAAAAGATCCCAGGATATTGTTGTTGGATGAAGCAACCTCGGCATTGGACAGTGAAAGTGAATCCATTGTACAAGCTGCACTGGATCGAGTAAGAAATTTGCATTCAGATTATTAACGTATTACAAACAGTTTTGAGGTATATTTAGTAAATTTGAGTTTCTCAATGAAAGTGTGTCCAGCGGAAATCTTGCTAATAGTTGCAACACCAGTACAACGGAACAGTTGTAAAATGCCTTTGTTGGCTGAGGATGCGTAAAAAAGAGATTCTACCAAATCATTATGTACATCCCGGTTACCATGAGATGCGCACGCACCGCCGCAGGTCAGTGCAGGTATCGTTCGCCTTGGGTTTAGTCGTGCTTATTTTTCTCCGATATTTCTCCGCCTTTTGCAGCTGCTTATCACGGTAAGTTAACAGTTACTTTTTCGTTTATTTTTCTTTTACTGTGGACGCGCTCCACATTACATTCTCCAGCCGTTATTGTCTGGATTTTTTCCTTTCTCGTGCTCTGTGACGCGTCACAGGCGGACTGGGCTCTTGTGCCGAATTATAATTTTATGAGACGACTCCTGGACGTGTCCAGAGTTTAAACAATTGTGGTGCAACGCGTTTATATCCTTTCCTCGTTTCTTTACGAGTCTCAACAAGTTTATGACTAGCTATATAGCCGGTTATTTGGACCTATTTTTCTATACCACGTGGAGGACGAGTCCGCCATTTTTGTAGTGCAAAAAGCTTGACGTTTTCTTTATCCATCTTAATTTCTTCAGACGATGTCTGAGGAGTCTCAGTAAATTGCAAATTCTGGAGGTACTTCGCCTGTGGACCTCAAGGCGATGTTTGCCGCACTTTTAGATGATGCCAAAAGAGATATTTTGGCCCACGTACAAGACTCTATCGAGAAGGTTTATGCCGATTTTGAAGATTATGAGACCGGCCCTGAGAGCGGTGAAGCGAGCACGGAGTGTTCGGATGCAGCTGTTGCAACGGCTGTTGCAACTAAAATAAACGATTTTATCCAGCCAAAAACCTCAGATCATGCTGAAGGCTCGGATGGCGGTTCCTTTAAATCACTCGCTGATGAATTTAGCGTTCTAGAGAAAACTTCACCTGCCATAGATGGAAATTTGGCAGAAATAGTTCCCTTACTGAAATTGAACAGACTATCATTGACAATGAAGTAAAAACATTCCTTCTTAAAGGGATAATAAGGCTATCATCACATGAGGATGGCCAGGTCATATCTCCAATTTTTACAAGGCCTAAGGAAGATGGGTCTCACAGGGTTATATTTAACCTAAAGAAACTGAATGAGTCAGTGACATACCATCATGTTAAAATTGACACGTTAGAAACAGCTATTAGACTCATGAGGCCTGGATGTTACATTGTACATGACATCTATAGATCTGAAGGATGCGTATTACTCTATTCCTATTGCAGAAGAACATCAGAAATATTTAAAATATGTTTGGAGGGATCAATTATATGCTTTCACTAGCCTGCCTATGGGATTGACTAGTAGCCCTAGGATTTTTACGAGAGTTTTAAAACCGGTCTTTAGCTACTTGAGGGGTCAGTTTGGCCACACCTGTCTGGGCTACATTGATGACTCTTTCTATCTGGGAGATGGTTATACGGAATGTGAAGAAGCCACATTACATTCAATACAACGTTTTGTCAGTCTGGGTTTTAAAATCCATCCAGAAAAGTCAGTTATTATACCAACACAGATCTTAGAGTTTTTAGGGTTCATTTTGAACTCTATTCTCATGTCAGTTACTTTGACTAACAAGAAAGCTGTTAAAATTTTGCAGTTGTGCCAAAAGTTCTCTGTTCCAAATAAACGGTTTACTATTGTGAAGTTGCATCTTTTCTTGGGACCTTAGTCTCCAGCTTTCCAGGCTTGGAGTTTGGCCCTTTCACATTATCGCCACTTTGAGGTTGACAAAGAAGCAAATTTGAAATTGAACCAGGGGAATTTTGATTCATTTATGACCTTGTCTCATGACAGAGAGATTCACTGGTGGACTGCAAATATTCTAACAGCATCAAGAAGAATTTTTCATTATAGTCCTGATGTAGTTGTTTACACTGATGCATCCCAAATGGGTTTGGGTGCTCAAATCGAACATGGGAATAACACTAGTGGCATCTGGTCTAAGTCAGGGTGATCCAGGCACATAAATTACCTGGAATTATTAGCAGTTAAGCTTGCTCCGTCATCCCTACTTGATGCCAGGAACAACATCCATGTGCGGGTTATGTCTGATAACAACACTGCTGTGTCTTACATGAATTCTATGGGAGGTTGTAGATCTTTAGAATGTAACTCCATTGCTAAGGATACTTGGGATTGGGCTATTGACAAAGATATTTGGTTATCAGCAGCCCATATTCCAGGATCAAGCAATATTGACGCTGATCAGTTATCTCGGAATTTGAATTTGGATCTGGAATGGATGCTTTCCGCTCCGATTTTTCAGAGAATAGTAGCTTTATTTGGTAAACCAGATATAGATCTATTTGCTAGTAGACTCGATGCTCAGGTGGAGGATTATGTTTTCTGGAAACCACATCCAATGGCAAAGTTTGTAGATGCTTTTACCATTGATTGGTCACAATTTTTGTGCTATGCTTATCCTCCATTTGGCTTGTTTCAAGGTGTGTACAGAAAATAATTCACGACCAGGCCAGGCATCAGGAATTCTAGAAATTCCCTTATGGACAACTCAGCCTTATTTTACGGCTGTACTGAGCCTACTAACAGAAACGCCACGTGTATTAAATGCTTCAGTTCAGAATCTGATTCATCCAACCCTGGACGGTCCTCATCCCCTACACCAACGACTGCAGTTGATGGTATGCAAATTATCAGGTGATCCTTGCAAGAGTCTGAGATTTCGCCAGACATTGTCGACATCATCATGCATTCGTGGAGAGACAGCACTCAGAAACAATACAAAGTGTATATCAACAAGTGGCTGCAATTTTCCAGCGAAAGGAAGAATGATCCGTTGCATCCCACTGTAACAGCTGTACTCTTTTTTCTGCACAGTCTTTTCAAGAGTGGCTTGAGCTATTCTGCGCTGAATACAGCTCGGTCTGCAGTCTCTAGCACTGACATGCGTGATAGTGATGCCCCGTCTCATACACCTGTAGGAAAGCATTTCCTTGTTTGCCGTTACCTTAAAGGGGTGTTCAACAAGCTGAAGCCTGTGCCGAAGTATAACAATATCTGGTCCGTATATACTGTCCTTGATTACTTGAGTTTATTTTGGCCTTTACACGAGATCAATTTGAAGGAACTCACCCTAAAATTAGTCATGTTGATTGCCTTGACTACGGGGCAGAGATGTCAGACTTTGACCTTTATAGAACACATCAGAGCAATATATGCAGAAGAATGATACATGTTTTAATTCTGCCTTAACTGAACACCTTAAGCAGGACAAACCTGGCAAAGTTTTTGGCAATATACGCCTTTACAAGTATCCAGTAAGGGAACTGTGTGTTTATGAAATATTAGATTCTTGCCTACGGCCTACCGAAAAGCTTAGAAATTCTTCAAAATTGCCTGTTTCGTACATTGAGCCCTATAAGGCAGTAACCTCATATACTATTGGGCGCTGGATCAAAACTTTGTTGCGGGTGTTGATACAGCTAGAAATATTTTCTGGTCATAGCATTAGGTGTGCTTCAACGAGTAAAGATCTCACGTCAGTTTCCACTGATGTGATTCTAGCTACACAGCTGGGTGGACTGAGGAGTCCACTTTTCGGAAGTTTTACAAGCCAGTTGCTGTAACAAACCAGATGCGTTTGGCAGTTCTCACTTAGGTTAATGCCTTGTACAACAAAATTGTATTGCAAAGTAGTGTACAATTAAAGTGGGCGTGTGAAGTTGTTTGGGTGCTTTCTCATTTTGCGCTCACTGCGTTAAAGTCTCATGGTAACCCGGATGTACATAATGCTTTGCTAGAATTGAAAATTAAACAAGTAGGGTTAACATGCCCATAGCACCCATATGCTTACACCCACCCCTGACGTCGTTTCGGCTGTGTTTTAGTGATCACAATATTCTTTTAAGACTGACCTGCGGCAGTGCGTGCGCATCTCATGTTAACCCTACTGTACTACTAATGATTTGGCAGAATTGTCATCAAACTTCAACGTACAGGTAAGTCTTGTTTAATTTTCAGTTAGAAGTGGTTTAGTACATCAACCGGATTGCCGGACGTTTAGTTAAATTTTATTTGAAATTGTGATGTGTTTACACCTTGTTAAAGTCAAGTGCAACCTACAGATAACTAGAGAACTAGAGACTAAAGCTGGTATTTCGGATATTAGTCTCAAAACGCCAAGGTCGTACAACCAGCAAAGTTGAAATTATGAATGCTGTCAACAAGTTGTTTTTTGGTCATCTAGCAAGACACGCTAGGTTTGTGCTCACGGCTGTGATTGATATTGAAAAGGTCAATAATCCCGAGAATGCTGATTATAATATTTTATTATCACTAATGATATCTCTTTAAGGCACGTCAAGGTCGTACAACTATTGTGATTGCCCATCGCCTCTCGACAGTCCAGAATGCTGACCTAATTGCAGTTATTCAGGAAGGCACGATCGTCGAGAAGGGTCGTCATGATGAACTCATGAACATTGATGGACTATATCGACAGCTTGTTACGCTTCAGGTATGTATGCCTTCATTTAACTTATAAATGATTTAATTCAGGCTTCATTTGAGATGCCAAAGTCCAAATCCGCAGAGCGAGTGATGCAATCGGACTCTAACGCACCTGTACCGTACCGCTTAGTGACAGCAGACTCTTGTTGCTGTTGATTGTTGCTGACCCTTCGGCTAACTTAGTGTCGAACGCTGCGGGTAAACTAACCGAAGAAACGCTACAAACACACCGAGAGGCCCAATTACACGCTACTAGAGCGTCTTGGTTTAGTTGGCTGCTGTGAACAATAAAAAGAAAACGTATTGCAGACCTTTAATATCAAAATGCTTCCAATCGTTGATGACGCGTTCCTTTAATTTATTTCTTCGACTGTTGGTAATTTTTAAAACCAGAATATTCAACATAAATCATGAAACTGCATTGGTTTGTCCGAAACCTAAACAAATGGTCCACGTATTTTAATGGAAGACCATTCAGACCCACAGAGAAAAGGGAAAGGTGGAAAATACCAAAACCTATTTCACTGAGACTGTCATTATAGTTCCTAAACGGCCACTTGAATTACGGGCAGCTTCAGTAAAGTATAATATTCTTTCTTGATACTGCTCAGCAGCAACTGATAGTTGTGGCTTTCGTTATTGTGACCCTCTTCCGTAATCTATGAACCCGACCATTTTCACGGCATAAAATATTCGCTGAGCCTCTGGAGTATTTCTTTTTTGTAGATTTTCAAGCAGGAGGTAGAAGGTGAAGATGAGGACGATGACGATGAAATTAATGAACAGACGAATTATAGTGAAGGAAAGGGAGTGAGAACTCATTCAGGTTCGTTCATCCGTAATATTTGATACTCAGCCCATGATCTTCTGTCAGTAGTATAATAGGTTTCTACCCTTGAGAGCTCAAAGCTTGACTGTGCAAGCGAATAATAAAGTGATCATTTTTGATAATAAGATATTAATATTAATATTAATATGGATATGTTGGAAGATATTTTTTGACTCGTTATCAGGTAGTGAGTACAATTTTTACCTGAACACGTAATTGAATGACCACGGCCAAAACTTGTCAAGAATGGAAGTGAAGCAAGGCGGTTACCAGTGCTTTTATCAACCAAGCTTGATTTTTTACTATTTTTTTTGTTCATTTACTTACAGTGTCATCAGCACCAGCCAACTACGTTCGTAGTGTTTCACGCATGTCAAGCGATAGTGAACACGAAGGTCCTGTCCCAGGAAAGTTAAGAGCAGGTTCAATGCTGCATAAGGCAGAGGTAAACACTGCATTATGAGGTATGCATGATCACATCATTTGGAGTCATGGTTGAATATGGCTGTGAAAATTTTGAACCCAGGAATTTACTATGAGAGAATGACTGGACAACACACAATTTGACTAACAACAAACGACTGTTTGACTGTGCCAATAGACGGATCGATCGAAACGCACCAGTGACATAACTAGTCTTCATAGCCAATAACTGACAGACGACAAATGACATCAGGACTTTACTAACAATCAGGTCAATTATTTTTAATGCCATAAGCTGACGTGATACAACTCACTTTGACTCTGAAGAAGACTACCGCACAAGTTGCTGAAACGTCAGTTACTGGCAACAACAGGCCTATTCAGGACTACGTTAACCCGGATGATCATATATAACCTACGTATGATTAAGTATACATGTATGAATCAAATGGTGACGAGGGAAATGAGGGAATAATTTCACTCGCATTTCGTTCAAATTCCAATAATTTCCCTAGTCTTCAGGCGCGAAGCGTTTTCCCAGTTATTTTTTGTGCTTCTCGCCAAACAAAGTGCAACCTACTGACGCTTGCTAATTTTGGTTTCCGAGAATTGCCTCGACCTTCGCGTGGCCTGGAAAGACACTCTATCCTGTCCTTAGCGGCTAATGGTTACATTCCTTTTTGCCAACTTTTTTCGGATATGGACAATCCAGATTGTTTGGATTTTCGTGCTAACCGGAACAAAAATCTGAAATAAGATTGATCCATACAGCGGCTGGCTGTCCCTCCGATCTTCTTCTCAATTTCAACGCATCGTTTTTCACTTCTTTCTGCTAAATTAAGCATCTTCTCGTGGAGACACGGAAATAAAATTAGCTCTTTAACTAGTGGTGGTTCATACTGGAACTTATCAACTTAAAATTATCTGGAATTTGATTCAAGAAAATTCAGAAGACATTTACAAATTCTCAAGCGCTGAGAAGCGCGTTCTAAACACAAACAGACATTGCACAGTATAGTTTTGCAATGAGAAAATCTAAACGTTTTCTCTTCCTTACGGATTTAGAGTGACAGTGGAATATACTTCAATCCTTTAGCAGCATAGAACAACAAGGAAATATAAATAACTTTTGCCTGAACTAACCTTGACCCGCCGTGTTTACTTATGAACAAGCAAGTTTTTGCGATCGAAAAGCAGTTTCATTAAATGGAACAAAGATCTGAAACCAGATTGAGATGCCAATCTGAGCGATCCACGTTAAGAGGTAGATCCTTCGGATTGCAATCTTAGATTGGTTTGGTCCTTAATGGAACAAAAAATCGAATTTTCGATCAAAAAATCCGGATTTAGATTGGCTAAAAGGAATGCAATTTATGTGGCACTCCATGCGAAATATCTTGACATACAGATAAAAGGGCTTTTATAACATAAATAATTATTATTTGGGGTCTTTGCCTTAGGATAAGAAGGACAAAGGTGGCGAAGAAAAGATTTTAGAAGAAGAAGTGGAACCTGCTCCAGTTATGCGCATCTTGAAGTTGAACACTCCGGAATGGCCTTACATTTTCGTTGGAAGTTTTGCCGCCATAATCAATGGCCTTTTACCACTTGCATTTGCACTACTCTTATCCGAACTCCTCACTGTGAGTGAAGAAGGTTATTTTTCTTGTGCTGGATAGATTTATTGAAGTCTGAAATGTCACCCGTCTCTTCCCCCAACCCCCAACGGGCGCCTGTCGGGGGGTGGGGTGACGAGACAGATGGCATTTCAGACTAAGATATAGTATAAATATTCGACCCGATGATGGAAGTGTTCGTTACCGACGCGACAAGACAATTTTTGAACACGCCAGTTATATGGTTTCCCGTCGATGATTGTATGTGTGGCATCATTTGTTGTCTTGGTCATAATATTTGATTTGTAATTACGTTGGCTCTGTTTAACTGCGTTATGGCGATGGCTGTTGATTTGACAAAACTGGACGAACTAAAAATCACTTAGTAGTAATCCGGATTCCATGGGATCAATAATTCGACTTTTCCGTTCTTCTGTTTTACTCAAGTGGTACATTTATATAGTTTTTACACGTGCACTTCAGATGTACATGTGTATATGGTTTGAGGGGGAGCAAGGGTTTCGCAGTAATGGGAGCACTCGTCTCCCACCAATGTGGCCCGGGTTCAAATCCCGGCGTAGACGCCATATGTGGGTTGAGTTTGTTGTTGGTTCCCTCCCTTGTCCCGAGAGGTTTTTCACCGTGTTCTCCGGTTTTTCTCTCTCCTCAAAAACCAACACTTGCAAATTCCAATTCGATCTGGAACGCACAGACACGTTTAAACGAGTTCAACTCCTGAGTGCTTCGTGGGTAAACAAATTTCGAACTACAATTTACAATTTACATGGTGTGCGTCCAGCAGATTTGTTTTTTTCGATTAGTACTCCAACAAAACTTGTTAAAGATGACGTTGTGGAAATTCGGGTGAGTTTCAAATTACCCTAAATAATCTGGGTTACCTTTGTAAGTGAAAGTAAGTCGCTCAAAGCTAGGTTACCGACTGCACGGATTGCTAGCTCGAGATGACAAAAACATAATTTGAAAGCTTTGACCGTTGACTAATTTCTGTATATTCATGTTCTGTTCTTTTTTAAGGTCTTCACGTCGCGAGATGCACAGAAGATTAAAAAGGAGTCCGATTTCTGGTGTCTCATGTATGTTGCTGTTGCTGTTACAAGCTTTTTGGCATATTTTATCCAGGTCAAGTATTGTTCCAGCTTTCTTTACTTCAGAAGATAACTTCTAAAATAAGGGATTAATTCATGCTCATTTAGTTTTTGGCTGGAGCCTTTTAGATGAATAATTCTGTTTTAACCTTTTTTTTCTAAAGACCGTAATGTTTGCCAAATCTGGGGAGTTGCTCACTTTACGGCTGAGGAAGATGGCGTTTCAAGCAATTTTAAGACAGGTCAGTGAATCTATTTGATCTTATCTCTGTCAGGTGCTTTAAGCAATGTTGTGAGCGCATTGTAACAGACTGAAAGAGCAAGGGAAATAACTAGCAAGAGTTTCAGTCCTCTTGATCGGTAAACGTCGGTTAAGCTGGTACTTGGTAGCAGCAACAGTGAAGGGGTCTATAAACTCTTGATTTTTCATCCATCTTTTTGAATAGGATATGTCATATTTTGATGACCCAGTGCATAGTACAGGAGCTTTAACGACAGCCCTATCGACACATGCTTCGGATGTCAAAGGGGTAGGTAGACGGCAGACCGTCAGTGTTTTTTTAAAGGAATCTCTTATCCGCTCAGCACAAATATTAAAGCTTAAAGTGAAAGCGCTTATAACATGTTTATAAAAGTCTTACCTAAAATAATTGACTCGCCCTTGTAACCCCCTGTGACCTCTTCTAACCCCCAGTAATCTCTTCCAACCACATGTAACCACTTGCAAGCCTCTGTAACCCAAAGTAACCCCCTATAACCATTTGCAACCCGCAGTAAGCCCCTCTAACCCCTCTAACCCCTTTAATCCCAGTGAGGTTTAAATAGCAAAAGCCATAATTTTCACAGGAAAGAAGACCCTGAAAGACTCTGGTAGTAGTAGTAAAATGACACCATCGTACAAATGGCCCATTATGAGGTTAAAAGCAGCATGTTTTTCTTGTTTGTTTTTGTTCTACAGGCTACAGGAAGTCGAGTTTCCAGTATTGTCGCGTCTTTCAGTACAATTATTGCCTGCACTGTGTTTGCTTTCTTCTATGGTTGGAAGCTGTCTCTTGTCGTTCTGGCTTGTGTTCCATTTCTGGCCTTCGCCAATGCTGTTAAGACCAAGGTGATGTTTCAGGGCTCGATGTCTGGTAAGGGCGAAGACATGACTATTCAATCCGGCAAGGTGAGAAGAGCTTTATTCACACTCCTCTAATCTGCGTCATCTATAGACAATGACATTTTAAATTTATGTTTCCACTTTAGTAGGGCGAATTAAACCTACTGTTATGGCATTTTTATTGCAACAGATGGCTACAGGTCTGGCAGGTCGCATTCTGGTTGAATCTCCAAGGAAGAACAACACATGTCTAAATATTCCATAACACTTTCTGGGTTTTCCGCGATATACGTCTCCATTTCTCTTGGCGCACGCGAAAATGGGAACAAAAAAGTTGGGAAACGTTTGCTCGCGGGCTACGCTTGGGTTTGATGTAATTAATCTCGTACCCAGAACTCGTGTTGACGATTCCGGCTTCCTCGGCAAGAGATCTGGATACGAGATTATGATGTATTTGAGGTTGCGCGGGAGACTGGGTAGTTGTTGTGTCGAATTGATTCATGGAACCGTTTTGGAAACGCAATCAGTTATTTCTTTTTATTTTGAAGTTGACAAAACAGTCCCATAATGCACTTCGACAAAACACCGTATCGTACCAGTCAAACGTAAACTTGAAATGACCAGTAATGTAAACTAAGGCTTGAAAAAGCACTGCAAAAACCGTGGACGATCAATGTAGCTCAACGTTGGATCGAACAAGATCGTGATCAGTCGGAAAAGATAAAAATAGAATTAAAGTGAAAAAGACCAGTGCAAAAGACTGATCAAACAACATGAAAAAGGCAGAGGTATACAATATTTCGACTGGCCAATACCAGTCTTTATCAGGTTCATTAGGAAAACCACGAATGAACAAACGTGACGAGCAATAATCATTGTGTAATCTTTATCTTTTTTTCGGTTTATTTTTCGTAGTAGCCACACCTTACTACGTCATACCATGTAACTTTCGTTTATTATTTTACAGTAGTATATATTCTGTATATGCGTTTTTTTTTCGTAATTATATATCTGATGAAGACTGGTATTGCCTAGTCGTAATATTTTATACGTTAGCCCTTTTCACGTTTTTTGATCAGTCTTTGCAGTAGTCTGTTTGACTTTGATTCTATTTTTTTTGAAAAAGACCAACTAAGGGCTCTTATCAGTTGTCAGAGTTGCCTGGCAAGACCTGTCCCATCTTAAACTTTTACGTCTCAGGAGTGACAATTTGATCCTGCTAATCAATGGTTCTGTTCTTATTTGAGAAATCGTATGCAAACGTGTCTCGTTAATTGCAACAAGTCATCTGAAACGTACGAACCCTGTGGTGTCCCGCAGGGAACGATTTTGGGGCCTCTTTTGTTTTTACTATATATAAATGACCATCCGAATTGCCTCATGCTCCCATAACCTAGAATGTATGCTGACGACACTAGTATCACCTATGCGAGCAATGATGTTGAAGAAATAGAGCGTTGTGTTAACATAGATTTAGATAGAATTCGTACATGGCTTGCAGCGAGCAAACACGACTAAGACAGAATTTTTATTAATTGGGTCTAGGCAAAGACTGTCAACGCTAGAAAGGAATCCCATAATTGAAAATAACCAGTTTCCGATTAAACAAGTGTTGACTTCAAAATCCCTAGGTGTTCACATCGATGGAAATCATTCTTGGAAGTGTCATATTAACGAAATCTCTTAGAAGATTGCTTCTGGCATAAGTGCGATTAAGCGTATTACTTATTTTCTCCCTTTTGAGATTCTACTTAACGTATACAATTCTCTGGTACAGCCACACTTTGATTACTGTAATGTCGTAAGGGGAAACTGTTCTAAGAACCTATCTTCTAAATTGCAGAAATTGCAGACTCGCGCCGCTCGCGTCCTAACTTTCTCTAATTATGACTGCAGTACTAGTGAATTGTTTCGAAATTTAAAGTGGTGGAAACTTGTCCATCAGCGCGCAGTTAGTAAAGCAATAATGATGCATAGCATTGTAGATAACACAGCTCCAGAATATCTGACATTGCGTTTTGTTCGATGCTGCGATTTAACTACTTATAACCTTAGAGAGAATGAATACAAGCTCGCTGTTCCACAACCCCGTACTGAATTTTATTAAA